GCACATTTACCGAATATTCTAATCTTGAACAAATTATTATTTTTTTTGACACTCAAATAGATACTTAAAAATATATAATTATGAAATGTATATACAGTGTGTCAGATTCGTTAGTAGCCAACTAAAAATTACGGTAGATTGGTTAAACTGAAAAGAAAAGTCATGTACTGTTTTACAAAATTAGCAATAGTTATCGCGTAATTGATAAAAACGTCTGACCAAATGAACACACAAGGAGCGGAAGGCCAGACCGGCAGGCATGCAAAATGGTTTATGTGATATACAAGCGAATCGTATGTGCGAACGGGGGGAGCATGCGAATACGTAAGGACCACGCGACGAGCGAGTGACTCTCGCATGGATCGGGGGATAGCCAACCCGGACGCGTGAACTATCGAGTAGTCTGTTGTACGATCTGGTATAGACGAGTGCTGTTGACGATTAGAGAGGAGTGACTTTATTTCGCGAACTCCTAGCCTCCCGATACACTACAATTGGCGACGAGGATGGGATAAGACTGGAGCATTACGCGTATCGCGAGGCGAGCACAGCTATCGAATGTCGGACGCCAATAAAACAGGCTGGATTCAAAATCTAAGCAAGCTACAAATTATTGGCGAGCTCGAAGTCAGGGGCATTAAGAGGAAGGCGAGAGGTACGAGGTCCTGCGTGAAAGATTGAGAAAAGCAATCAAGGGGTTAGCCACAAAGAGCGAAGAGGATAATACCGGTGCAGCTAATACTGGAGCCGAAGGGGAACCGTTCGAGTCGGGAGAGACGAACGAAGGCTCGGATACGGGCAGCGGAATGTCGGGAGACGGCGCGAAGCTACAGTTTGCGCTCGAACGCGACGACTGGGAGATGTTTATCGAACAGTTAGAGTTTTACATCTTAGAAAAGGGTATCCAGGATGATAAAAGGAAAGTGGCTACGCTAATGACGCGGGTGGACCAAGAGGCGTTCAAACTGATAAAGCAGCTAGTAGCGCCCGAAAGAGTAGCAGACAAGAAGTTCGAAGACGTAGTGAAAACGGTGACTGCGCATTTTAAGCCAAAGCCGTCCGAAGCCATGGAACGATGCAATTTCCACCGGGCTAGACAAGAAGCAAACGAATCGATAGCAGAGTATGCAGCGAGACTGAAGAAATTATCGCTACACTGCAACTTCGACAACTTAAAAACCGCGCTGCGGGACCAGCTGGTGTGCGGCATCAAAGACACGGAGATTCGGGTAAAGTTGTTCGAGGACGAGAGCCTGGATTATGATAAAGCACTAAAAACGGCAATAGCGCACGAATCAGCGGTGAAAAACGCCGCAGCATCGTTAGGCACCTTAGAGAACAAGCATCAGAAGGCAGACGTATATTCGATTCGCCGCGAGCAGCAGTCGAAGGGGCAACGAGGCGGCAGAGGAAGAGGCCGTAATTACAAGGATGGAAGATCTCTAAACAAACACGACACGGCAGAACGCGAGAAAGCAAGCAACAAATTCCAACGTCGACCATCATCGAAGCAGGGGCTGGAGTGTTATTGCTGCGGAAAGGCGAATCACGTGAGCAGAGAGTGCCGGTTCCGGGACTACACGTGTAATAAGTGCGGGAAAAGGGGCCATCTAGCAAGAGCGTGCCGCACAACGGAGTCGGGAGCACGTCAGGGCAAAAGCGATGTGAATTGGTTTCCGATGAGCAGAGGGGACAGCGAGAGAGACGAGGACCGGACAGCATCACATCAGGAGGAATTCTTCAACGTATCGTATGAGGACGAGAAACAGCCCAAGTAGAACATATTGGTCATGAAAACATCAAGATGACATCATTTTTCGATCATTTTTTATGCATCATGGTGACGTCAAAATGGCCCACCGAGAGCACCTATTTGTGACATCATTAAGACATCGAAATGTTGTAAAGCTAATCTCGTAAGTTAATTAAGTATTATACATCAAAAATAAATCGAAGTAATATAAGACAAACATAATATATGACTGATCATGTAATCTGTAATAATATATTATTATACACGTCACGAATATCATGGTCATTAGTCAGTCATTGCGAAGTAAATCTTGATGTTGATCATTTTATGACGTAAAATTCGTCATTTTAATGACACATTGACGTTTTTGTGATTAACTTGTTCTACTTGGGAGGGTACCGGCGCGATTTCGTATAAGCGAGCGCATAATTTTATAAATAAAGTCGCGGAATTAAAGCGAGAAAGTGCAAGCGCAAAACCCATGCTTATAGATATTATCATCAATAAACAGAAATTATTAGTAGAAGTTGACACGGGAACTTTTACAACGGTAGTATCAGAGCCCAGGCAGCAACGTCACGTGATTTTCACGTTAATTTTTGGTCAGTCGTAACGTCATTTATCCTTTTATGAGTACGTAATAATAACGTAAAAATTACGGGAATAAGTCACAGCCCACAGACGTCATAACGAAACGTGAAAATGACGTGTTATTATAACCTTTTTACTCTATTTTGACGTAAGAAAGACGTCATTTTAATATTTTAGAAAAAATAAAAAATATATAGTACATATTCATTTTACATTTATTTATTGCTGATATGTAATTTATCCGGCACAAAATGGCAATCGGCACTGCGCGACGCGCGCGCGTGCGCCAGATTCTGTACTCAGAACTATAATACTGTTCAGCCAAAAACTTGGAAGCAAAATCCAGTCTCGTAGGATATAAAAGGGTATAAAGGGGTTAACCCACTGGAATACTTGCCCTGGCTTCCACGCGGGCCTCCTTTTATACCCTACGAGACTGGATTTTGCTTCCGAGTTTTTGGCCGCCACCATGCGCGGCCTAGCGGCGGTCGGCGAACTACTCAGAAGCTGGCGCTCGCGCGCCCGCGTATTATAAACGTATTATAAACGTCTTTAAATTTACGTTATTATTACGTTAGAATATTAACGTATCTTAAACGTCAGTTATTGGGTATATGACGTCGAGGACCACTAATCACTACTTATCGACGTGAAAATCACGTGACGTTGCTGCCTGGGAGAGAACGTACAGAGAACATTTTCAAAATTTAAAACTTTCGAAACCCGATGCATAGTTAAAAGCATACGGAGGAATCCAATTAAAATCGTTGGGCAAACTCACAAATTTAAAAGTAGAACTAAATAATAAGTCGAGAGTGTTGGAATGCTTTGTTTTGCCGGAAACGGGGCCGCCGTTAGTAGGCAGGCAATGGCTCAATATTTTCGGGCTATGGCCGTTAGCCTTGCCTACGGATCACGAAAGCGACGTAAATAAAGTAGAGACGGAAGAGTTGTCAGGTCTTATAACGAGTAAATATAGCCAGTTATTCAGCGATACGCCGGGACTGTATAATAAGAGTACAACTAGAATACACTTGTCGGATAAAGCGCGACCCGTAGCATTAAAATGTAGACATGTGGCACATGCTATTAAACCAATGATAGAGAAAGAATTAGAGAGACTAGTTTCCTTAGGTCATTTGAAGCCGGTAGAAGCGAGCGAATGGGCCACGCCGATCGTACCGATATTCAAAAGCAACGGAAATATCCGAGTTTGTGGGTACTTTAAGCTAACCTTAAATCCATTCATTATTATCGACAAATACCCATTACATACAATAGACGACATTTTTGCGAAACTGCAGGGGGGAAAATACTTTTCGGAACTTGATTTGAAGCACGCTTACATGCAATTCCCAGTCGCGGAAGAATGCAGGAAGCTACTAACGATTGTGACACACAAAGGTCTTTTTCAATATACAAACATTCCGGAAGGTATTTCTCCTGCACCTGCAGACGTACAAAGGAAAATGGACGAATGCTTACAAGGCATAGACGGTACCATCGCGTATCTAGATAACATTTATGTAACAGGGAAAACGGAAAGCGAACATAGGGCAAATTTAGAAAAGGTATGCAGTAGACTGCAAGAGTGCAATTTGCGGTTAAACCTAAGTAAATGTAAATTTATGGAAGAGAAAATAGAAGTACTCGGATTTGTAATGAACAAAAATGAACTCCATAAAGCGCTATCTAAAGTAAATGCAATGGTGAACGCACCACGACCAACAAACGCGAGAGAATTAGCTTCATTCTTAGGGCTAGTAAATTTTTATCCAAGATTCTTGCAAAATCGATCGGCCAATATGAAACCACTGTACGACTTATTAGAGGTAAAAGAGTTCAAATGGAACAAGGCACACGAAAGAGCGTTCGAATGGGTGAAAAATGAATTAATTTCACCTCGAATATTATCGAATTTTGACCCGAAAGAAGAAGTTGTATTGGCGTGCGACGCGTCGGATCACGGGATATCTGCAATTTTGTCACACAGATATAAAGACGGGTCGGAGAGACCAATAGTATACGCATCGAAAAAAATTCCGAAAAATGAATTAAAAAGAGCAATAATAGATAAAGAGGCTATGGCAATTGTTTTTGGATTTAAGCGATTTTACCAATTTGTTTTTGGAAGGGAGATAATACTGCGTACAGATAATAAGCCACTACAACTGATTCTCGGGCCTAGAAAGGGTATACCCGTCACGGCGGATAACAGGCTACAGAGATGGGCCTATTTTCTGTCGGGGTTTAAGTATAAAATTGAGCATATCAAATCAGAAGCAAACGCGAACTGCGACGCGCTTTCAAGACTGCCGGTAAACGACGACACAGACACCTGCGATACGGAATTTTCTAATGTACATTACTTCGAAGAAGGCTCAACTGCGTTTGATTCCAAAATGTTAGCAAAAGAAAGTAAAATGGACAAGACAATAAGTAATGTAATCAGATTCATAAAAAATGAATGGCCGAGCCATGATAAATTATCGAACGAAGAAAAAATATATCATAAGAAAAGATTCGAATTAGTAGTAGAAAAGGAATGCCTGTTCTGAGGCGTGAAAGCATGTATACCGGAATCAATGCGTAAAACTGTCTTAAAGGAGTTACATGCCTCGCACTTGGGCGTAGTTAAGATCAAGATGTTCGCGCGCTCGTATGTCTAGTGGCCGGCTATTGACAGTGAGATAGAGAATTTCGTAAAGGGGTGCAAAATATGCTTGATAGAAAGGAAGAAACCGGCACACACGCCGCTCACTACATGGCCGTGGCCGTCACACACATGGAGCCGCATACATTGCGATTTTGCTGGTCCATTCTTCGGAAACATGTACTTAATTGTACTGGATGCGCATAGCAAATGGCCAGAAGTTATTAATTTCAAACGAAATACGAAGGCAGACAAACTCATCGAGGAGTTTAAAAAGCTGTTCATTCGCTATGGGCTCCCATTACACTGTGTAACGGACGGCAGTCCGCAATTTCGAAGCGAGCGTTTTGAAAATTTCCTGAAAACCAACGGAGTATATCACAGTTTTTCGCCCCCGTACCACCCAGCCACAAACGGCGCGGCGGAAAATTTTGTACAAACGTTCAAAAGTAAAGTCGAGAAAATTGTCAAAGGGGGAGAGTCGCTGGGGGCGGCGGTGAACAGGTTCTTATTCGACTATCGCAGCGTTCCGCACTGCACCACAGGCATGAGTCCCGCGTACATGATGTACAAGCGTGAACCGCGGACACGTTTTGATATATTAAGACCCAACACCGCACAAACGGTGGAAACTCGCCAGCGAGCGCAGATAGTGGCGAGACAGGGAAGTAGGAAGATTAGCCTAAACGCCGGAGACGAGGTGATGATCGACAACTTCAGGGCCAGAGAACTGAAGCGCGTTCACGGCGAGGTAGTCAAGCCTGTATCGCCATCCACATATATCGTTAAAAACGACCAAGGTCGGATACAAAAGAGGCACATTGATCAATTGATCAATTGTACGGATAAACCGACCTTGCGTCGTTCGGCGCGGATACAACAACTTAAACAAAAAGGGGAAGAGTTGTGATATACAAGCGAATCGTATGTGCGAACGGGGGGAGCATGCAAATACGTAAGGACCACGCGACGAGCGAGTGACTCTCGCATGGATCGGGGGATAGCCAACCCGGACGCGTGAACTATCGAGTAGTCTGTTGTACGATCTGGAATAGACGAGTGCTGTTGACGATTAGAGAGGAGTGACTTTATTTCGCGAACTCCTAGCCTCCCGATACACTACAGTTTATTTGTTTATATCTCCTAGGACGCGGTAGTGAGAGGTGGAGTCACGCATTGAGTGACGTCACTCCATGATCAATTAATGGCATCGTCTTATGTCTCCCATCGAACCACACAACTTTTGTCTGAAACATTTTTTCCTAATATGTTTCAAAGTATTTCCAAACAAGACCTGCGGAGCCCAAATTTTCTATGTTTGACTACGGGCTGTAGCTCAGTAACTAGCCATTATTTAAGTTTGAGCCCATTATATTTTATGTTCAGCAGGTCATAAGCTACAACATATGTGAAAACTAGCCAATTTAACCGAGATCCAATTTCCTATATAATTAGTGCGGGGTTTTTTTGTCACAGCATTCTAAAGTGGATAACTTTGTATTCTATTGCTAAATTGGAGAAAAGTTAATTCAGTGTGCTGATAAAACATTACTTTTTGCGTGGAAAAACCATTAAGGAAACTGAAGAAAAGCTAAAAAGTATTATAGAAACACTGCTCCATCGCATGGAATGGTTTACAAGTGGTTGACTGAATTTCATTGTGGTCGTATAAGCATAAATGATGCTGAGCGACTGGGACGTTTGAAAAAGTCACAACTGAAAGAAGAGTTAATAAAATCCATGGATATTGTGTTGGACAATTATCGGGTAAACATCTCAGATAAACGTGTTTTTAATATCTTTCATAAACATTTGGACATGAGAAAGCTATCGGCAAGATGAGTGCCGCGTTTGATCACAATTGATCAAAAACAAAATCACATCCATCATATTCCCCAGATTTGGCCCCTTGCGACTTATTTCTCTTTCCAAATATGAAGAAATGGCTCGGTGGAAAAAGATTTGCATTGAATGAGGAGATCATCACTGAAACAAACGCCTATTTTACAGAATTTAAGAAATCTTTTTTTTAAGCTTAAAGAAGTTGGAAAACCGTTGGGCAGAATGTATAATCGAGATAAAATGAGATTATACACTACTCAAAAAAAATAGGGAACACTTTTCATACTCTAAAAATTGGGCTATTTTCAAACCATTGAAACTCAGCGAAAAATCATCGTAGACTCAAAACTAAAAAAGCATTTTAAAGCTTGAAGTTTCAACTTTAAAACCCTGTCACCGATTTATTTAAGTATGTTCATCTTCCTCGTTCTGTGCTTTAAAAAAGAATACCTTGTTTTGTTCCTTAAAATTACGTATATTTGACACATTGCAGCTCGATAAAAAAAATGCTCTCGGCAAATTCGATACAAGTTCCACAATTTACAACATTTTACCTACAAAATGCTTTTTTTAAATTTTTTTACGATTTTTTTTGACAGAGTTACATGACTTTGAAGCGAACCATGTATTTTCTTGAAAAATGATGAACGAGGAAGATGAACATACTTAAATAAATCGTTGACAGGGTTTTAAAGTTGAAACTTCAAGCTTTAAAATACTTTTTTAGTTTTGAGTCTACGATGATTTTTCGCTGAGTTTCACTGGTTTGAAAATAGCCCAATTTTTAGGGTATAAAAAGTGTTCCCTGTTTTGTTTTGAGTAGTGTATTAAAAAATAAATCGAATTTTGGTAAAAAAATTCTTTTACTTTAAAGTCACTAACTTATCAAACAGCCCTCGTACATACTAGGACAGGGTGTAGCATAAAGCCTGTATAAGCAGACCGAACTCCCGTAATCAGAGTGGACCGACATTTTTCAGACTTATTCGTTCCAAAAAGAATCACTGGGAGCGCTGTCAACAGACAACTCGATTTGTATTCATGTGTACCATGTGGTTGTTATATGCATGAAGCTTTCGTGAGAGTTCCGCTTGGAATGCTGAGTGGCGTGGACGTTTTTACCTAACCTAATTGGGAAATTTTTGACTTTCTTCACTTATCTGTAACTGGTGTAACTCAACGCAGAAAATCGCTTGTAATTTTTGTAAGTTCAAGAAATTGACCCCCAAAAAACAACAGTTATACGCTGTATCTACGAGTCAGTATAAGATCAAGATCGGTAAACTCATGGGCGAATCCTTAACCCCTTTATCCAATGCCAGCGCTTAAAGTGGCAACATTTTGATTCAATATTTTGCAATAATGTCGGCCCACATTTGGTGACATAATCAAGCCTAGTTCAGTCTCCTTATACAGGTTTCATAGGGTGCAGACTGCACAGTAGAACATTTTTATATTAAAAACACTGATTGTGAGTTTAGAAATATAGAAAGCTATTTTTTGTGTCAACTTTGCATCATTCTGCATACAGGCATCTACTTTAACAGACATTTTTCCACAAACTTTTAAAGTTAATGTTTTAACGGTATAGTAATATTCTTTGACGTTTTCTCATGAGTGGACGCTATATCTTTTTCATAGACACTGCATAATTTTAAAGAAAAATTTGTTTAATTACACTTTTGTTGTCAGGTTCTGCATGAAACCTGAGAGTGGCCACACCGGCATTTTATTTAATACCATTTCAGGAAACTGTTTTGCGTACCCTCCCACACAGCACGGGGAACTCCCGGGGAGCTCCCGGGGAGCTCTTAAAATTGGTCATAAACTTCACTTGAACTTCAAATGAACTCGCACGGACCCTTCTGAGAGCTCCTATGTCCGCTTTTGAGAGCTCTCTGGGAGCTTTATTTAAGCTCGCAGGGAGTTTAAATGAGGCTCCCAGGGAGCTCTCAAAAGCGGACATAGGAGCCCCCGAGGAGCTTCATTTAAGCTCGCAGGGAGTTCAGAAAACATGTTCTAAAAACTCTCTGCGAGCTTAAATGAAGCTCCCAGGGAGCTACGTGCCACTACGTGCGAGTTCGTTTAAAGTTCAAATAAAGTTTATGAAAAATTTTATTAGCTCCCCAGGATTTCTCCGCGCTGTGTGGGTATAGTCATCAAAAATGTATTTAGGTCATTAAAGTTGTGCCATGATCCAGATAACTCGCTATCGAATTATATCGGCTCGCCTCTTATACTAATATGGGAGGATTTTACTTACGAGAAAGACTAAAGTGCAGTCGCCACGTCGCGGCAGTGAGTGGTACTAGTACTAACTCGCTGGAAGCTTGTTTTATCGAATTTTGTAAGCTTCCCGGGAGCTCAGCGAAATGAACTCCCTGGAAGTTTATTTTGTCGAATTTTATAAACTCCCTGGGAACTCAGCGAAATGAACTTCCTAGGAGCTTAATCGGAGCTTTGTGCTGTGTGGGCTTATACCCATTTTTACTTTTGAAACTATTTTGTAATGTATTTTCTGGTACTGCCGATAAAGTCTTCACTTTATACATGTTTGTACTACATCTATTTTTCAGAATTATGCTGTAAATTTCAAAATTACAGCAAAATTACATTAATATAAATTATCTACATGATGTTTACATCAACTTTTTTCATGTAGACAATGTAAATTTAAAAATTAGATGTTAGAATGCATAACACAGACTCGTACCAAGTGGAAATTTTATCGGCAGCGTCAGAAAATATGTACATAAAGAAATGGTTCCAAAAGTAAAACTAGGTGTAAGGGCGTGCAAAACAGTCTCCTGAAACTGTATCAAGTAAAACGCTGATGACATGGCCGCTCTCAGGTTTTTCTGTCTGCATCATATCATATAACTTCACTTATTTAATATAAAAATTCTGCTTTAATATAAAAGTAAGTCTTACTTTAATATAAAAGTAAAATTTATAATACAGACGGCTTTAAGAACCCCTTTCAGTTTCATGTTTTATGACTGTTTTTACCAAATCCTGTAATAATAAATTTAAGAAATTAAACTTGATTTTGATTTCTATTCCTTTTAAATTATGTGCACTTTTAAATATTATGCTTTAATGTTAATTTCGACATGTTCCCCTGACTTATATACATATAAAATTAAGAAAACTGTGATACAAAACCAATTGTCATGAAACTCCACGCACAGACATAGTATATGGTAAAAGTTGAAGAAATTTAATCAAAATCGTATTTATGTTAATTGCAAATGAGTGAATCCTGATTAAAAACCAAAAAATAGATTCAATAGATTGTGTGGTAGTGTCTATTGCCACTCATACGGTCATATCTTGGCAATATACAGGGTGAGTTCTTTTAACTTGTTATTGAAAATTATCTGGAAAAATAAGTATTGTACGAAAAAATATTCCAAATAAACCCTTCAATATTTTTGAGGGGGCAATTCCATCCCGCAAAAGTTAGCCGCGTACCACCCCCCCCCCCCCTAGAGGTAGGACGGGGGATAACTTTGAAATCTTAAATAGAAACCTCTATTGTTTAATATACTATTTTATTCTACTAATTAATATGAATAACTTTTGTCTAAAACATTTCTTTATTTGCCTAATACTTTGTTGTACCCCGATTTCATAAGGAGGTAATGAGGATACGCTATTTTTGAGATATTCAAGAGAAAATTGATAACTTTTTCGATATTTAGCTCATGATATCTCGATAACTGTTTGTCAGAGGAAAAAGTAGTACAAGATTTTTTTACTTGATTTTGTCTCCGGAATACGCTGTTGCAATAGTGCTCCAATTATTGAAAATTTTTGTGTATGCAAATTTTGTGGATATTACAAAACACAAAAATTTTCCATAATTGGAGTACTATTGCAGCAGCATATTCCTGAGACCAAATCAAGTAAAAAAAGCCCTGTACTACTTTTTTCTCCGACAAACAGTTAACAAGATATAATAAGCTAAATATTGTAAAAGTTATCAATTTTCTAGAATATATTATATTACACACACATACACACACGTGCGCGCGCGCGCACGCACATACACACATACACATACCGTGTGCGTGAAAGCGGTACTTGGAATTAAAGTAACATATTTATTAGGATCTTGTACTGCGGCAACAATCACTGTTGAGTTCAAAATTTGACGCATTTATCCACATAAGTTGAGCAGTTAAACCTCCTGGTCTCTAGTCTTCATGTTTCATCACACTGTTATCAGTCTTCTACTCTGAAAAGCTCTTTACAGAGTTTGCAAAGTAATCACTTCAAACTTTTCAATTTTCTCATAGGATATTGCTGATTCTGATGAAGATTATGTAGAAATGGACATTGATAACAACAAAGAAATAATAAAAATTGATAAAACTGCCAATCACTAATCATCTATTTTATGAAATTGTATAAACTAGATACACTTTGTATTCATGTATTATAATTGGTAAAGCTTCAGTATTTGTAAAGGGCCATTCATTAAATTCTATTGACAAAATGAGCCTTATGAGTGGTAAATGGACATTGCCGCCATTAGACTAACCAGACCTATCTTTTATTTTTTGCTTTTTAACCAGAATTCACTCATTTGAATACTTGATTTTAGTTAAATTTCTTCATATTTTACCTTATATGTCATATCTATGTCATGTTCATGATAATTAGTTTTTTAACACAAAATTTTCCCAATTTTGCATACTCTTTTGCTGCATTCTACATATACATATGTGTAATATAAATGTAATATGTATTCAGTTACATTTCTATTTAAAATGTAACTGAATACATATTACATTTATATTTAATCTATTTAAAACACAAGAATGAAAAATATATATGGAATTGTTTAAATAGCGTAAAAGTAATCAAGTTTCAAATATGAAATAATAAAATTTAAACAAAGTTAACAATTCGTTTATTTAATCACTTTGATTGTGTAAAAAAATCAAGTACATTAAGAAAAATTGTAGTGAAACTAATCACTGCAAATAAAAAAATTATTTTGATTTGATTCATTGTTAACTTAAAATTAATTCTAACAGATTCATCAGTTCTACTAAACTCTCAAATCTTGCAACTCAAACACAATCTAAATAATTTAAGATTTGATTTTAAAATTTGTATTGTTTTAAGTTCAATTTGAGAGAGAGAGGG